TCTAATCCTTATGTCATTACTCAGATTAGAAACTGTGTCAAACTACTTAATTTAGTTCCAAATAGAAGTTTCTAGAACTTTAAGCCTCGTGTATATTAGGGCGAGCATTTCTTCTCTGAGAGATTGATTCAAATTTGAAGAAGCTTAGTGCTGTAAATTCGCGAAGTTACCTTACGGAAATAAATTAGTTTGTTGCTGTTACTAGCGACCCTGAGTTCTGTCTGGGAACAACCCTGCTCTTCAACGATACTCGTAACATTGGATATGAGATGGTACAGTAGATAGCCCAAGAGGCACATAGCAGTGAGTTGGGTATAATCATCTCAAATCCAACAAGCACAAGTGGAATAATTGTTTTTATTAAAAACGCCCGCAAAATAAAACAAACTAAACTAAAATAAAAATAAAAATGCCCCAAGAAATTACGCGTACGCTTACCATATAATTTGTAGAGCATGGTACTGAATGGCTGAGAACCCATGATGGCTAGGTCAATGAAAACTCTTGAATTGCATTATTCAGTAATCTAGGTTTTGATAATTCATAGTAATTCTTTGGAGGCTAGGTTACTAGCAGTAAGTTGTCATGGTTTTGCTCTTGTATCTTCTTGTGTTCAATACAACCTGGAGAACTTTACCTGAATTGTGTTGTGGAGTCCTTTGAACTATGCCTACAACCAGTTTAACTTAAAAGGAGTACAAACCTAGAACTCTACAAATCTCAGGTACTACTGTTCAGGGATCAATAGACCTTGAAAGTTTTTCTAATTTCCCTATGAATTACTAATAATTTTTCTAAACTAGAGATGTTATGGTCTTCTTAAAACTTGGGAGGAGCTTGCTGTTTAATTTAAGGCCTGCTTAAAATCGATCAAGTAAAATGATGAAATCAAACAATTGAGGGTATAATTATTTAACACTCAAATGAGAACTAACCACATTCTAAGTGTACTTTGGTTTTCTCTGCTATCCTTGCATAAAACAGTTCTTTTCTATACATCACATGTACAGTAAATCCCCAAGCTCACAATATTGTGATACACTGAAATTAAGTTGTTATTGCAAAATTGCATATTCTTACTCCTTAATTACAATGCTGATTGAAGGAAAGCAAGGTTGACAAGGAAATTATATCATGGTAGATGTTTCTCATTCATAACAAAGTGCTGTGCAGCACCTGGCTTGTCTCAACACCATCTAAATACCAAACAATTTTTTGGTATCTGAAATTTAATTCTGATTATTCTCCATCACCTCATCTGTTAAACCATCATTGTTTACTCCAACAGGTTCACCATCAGGTTCAGTAGGATGTCCTTCATTCATTTTTGTCAGAACTGCCAGAGATTGGTCTTCAATTTCAATGTACCGCAGTTGCCAGGATCGCTGCCATCCCACTCTAGTCATATGAAACACAGCTCTTGCCAAGAACACGGCTCCAATGAGAAAAAAGTAGCTTCCATAAACAACAAACTGTGGAGATGAAGGATTCCATTTCATCATTTTCATCATTAAAATTATTAAAAATTACTTGTCATGTAGATCACCACTGGGTAAAGATATGTGTAGATCTAAACACAATTCTGAACTATAAAAATTATAATATCTGTAAAGTTCTGTTGATAATCCTTGTTACAGCATCACAATCCACCAGAACAAAGTACTACTTATGGATGGGAATACACTGGGCCATGTCATCAAAATGTTCTAAAATTGTGCCATGTTTTACCTTGTAAGTGGTATGAAAACACTGGGCCACATTGATGGTCCTTCATTCTCATAAAAACTCAATACAGAATTGAAAATCAAATGATGTGATTAGATTCTCAATGTTATTTTTATTTCATTTTAATTTACTTTTCTCTTATTTCTATTTAGTTTTATTTTTAATGTTTATTTGAGAAATAGAAAACATGTACCATGTTTGTCTTGAGTTAAAGAAACATGAGTGGAAGTTTGGCAGAACAAGAAATGCTAGGGGAACATGAGCCGATAGGCAAGTGTTTCCACAGCTTTTCTGAGTTCTCCCAAACTTCCACGAGTGTTTCTATTAAGCAATTAGATTATGAGCCTGAGATTTCTATTGCATGATAGTTGACTCAGGCTGTGCCCTCGTCAACTATCATGTATAGAAATCAAGAGTGAATAATCTAATATTATTGACAGTTTTAGAGTAAATCTACTAGTGGTTCAAAACTTTATCTAAGTCCTCTTCACAGACACTTTGAAGATGTAACGTCAGTTCGTTAAGAAGCACGCACTGCTATGCTACTCGATCACTATCTACAACAGAATAGATAGTGCATAGCGTAACCAATCAGCAAACAGCATTCGTGATAGAACGCTAATATATTTATACTAATACTGGATAGAAACATGTGGAGAACATGTTTTGCATTTCTTTTAGCAAATTCCATGACAAAAAAAAAAACAACCTGTTTATAAACTTTGATCATCAAAATGTAAATTATCTTTGCTTGCGCCATTATTACGTCAACAGCTCGTGCTAGTTCTGTGTTTCTATTGAGTTATGGAAAGATGATTTTAAACCGATCAGCGGGTATTTTGTTTGGGCTATTTTCTAATTTAAGTTGTTACATATTATATAGAATTTCCTTTATTAATGCTTCATTGGATTAATCTTTTTAGTAATTTTTAGTAATAAAATGCAAAATCCATTTTGGATTTAAGAATCTGGATTGGATTTTTCCATAGAACTGCACCCTCAGTGTTCATAGCTCTTTTGAGACAATGAAGACATTAGGATCTGTTACGTTAAATTTAACGGTTGCACTATGGTAACTGCAATTTAAAATAAATGATTTGCTTGAAAGCTTAACATAATATTTTTCTTGTGATCCATCTTCACTGCTGGATCATTCTGGGATGCTAACCAAGAGGGGAGGGGAGGTGTTCTGAAGAATATTATTGGGTTGAGTAGGCTTATAGATACGAGAGAGGGTCCTGACCAAAGGGTCATACAATTGCATTGCCCCAAACTGTTATTTAAGTTAAAACTTATTCTAACTTCTTAATACTGATTCCTGTTCAAGACAAAATCAAACTTGCATTACTACATTTATCCACAGTAAATCCTCGCATTAGTGCCCCCCTCCTGTCAGTCAAAATTTAAAATAACTACCCCACCTCGAATAAGCGCCCCACACCCCTCTTCCCATTTTGTGGACGAGTAATTAGGCAACAAAG